GTGACATGGCAACTAACTGCTCAGCAAACCTCAATAAACAATTTGCTTTAGAAGAGGAACTGGAGGCTCTTTAAACCGTTTTTATTGCACCACTTTCAGGCAGGTGCTGTACAGAATTTTGCCCTTCTGACAGCGTCCTGTGCTCTGGTGCAGCTCCAGCCACTCCTCTGGCCCTGGGACCATCTCTGAGCACTGGTTCTGGATTTCCTGGGACTATTTCTAATCACTTATGTGGTAAAGCATTTACTCTCATATTCCTGGAATTTATCCAAACAGGGCAGTGACTGGGGTGCTGGTACTGAGAAATAAACCCAGATTGCAGTGGGCATTTTCTGAGCTGAGCTCTGTCCAAAGCACTGGGCCATTCTAACAAGAATCACAAGGCTGGACAAAGGTTCCAAGGAAGTTTCTGTGTGGCCCATGCTGACAGGGCTTTGTTTTGCTCTTGGAAGAGGAGAGTCAGAACATGTTTGGACTGCTAAACTCAGACTGTAAAACCTGCAACCCCTCTGCAAAAAACTCCTCAGGCTGAAAGGAGCTGTGGGCTCCACAGAAACAGAAATAAATGGTGAGTTTGTGTTTTATCCCCTGCTCTTTGCATCCCTGAGAGCAGAAATAAGCAGAACAGCCCGTAAATGTTAGGACTGAGTCAGAAACTCTATTGTCAGTTATTTTTAGCACCAGAAACTCTATTGTCAATTATTTTAGCACCAGAAACTCTATTGTCAGTTATTTTTAGCACCAGAAACTCTATTGTCAGTTATTTTAGCACCAGAACTGGAACTGCAGCACCTTTGGGCAGGGCTCAGGGCTGGTTAAGCTGTGCTGCAGCTCTCTCAGACAATGTGGAGGCCAACAAGAGGTCAGGTCCAAYCCCCTGCTGAAAGCACCCATTGGGATTGTGTGTAAGAACAAAGGTGTAAATGAGCAAACCTGGTTGGCTGTGGCTGTTGCAGCGAAGGGAACACTTGTGGCAGATGTTGTTGCTGCAGACACAGTGGCTGGCGTAGCACCGTGCACCATGGGAACTTGGAAGGAAAATCAAATAAGCAAACACACAGAAGAGTGTGGCAGTTGGGAGCAGAGTGACACGTGGGTCATTGAGCAGAGAGCCCAAAACACCATTGCAGCAGTGCCATGCAACCATGGGCAAAGCAGGAAACATTCCAGAGCAGGGCAGGGAGTGAGAGAGAAAAAAGGGAAATGTTTGTTACCATCAAATCAGGAAAATCTACAAACAAGCTTAACAATTTCAATAGCAAAATCAACAGCAGAGCTTGTTCAATGCCCTTAYATTTACAAATTTTTGTCTGTTAAAAATTGGACCCAAATATTTASTGCAAACAGAAATCAATCTGGTAGAAGGACAGAATACAGCTACGTGGCTATGGTAAGATACAGTTTTAGTTAACACGAGGAATTTCTAAACACTGGAACTCACAGTCCAGTCAAAATCCACCAAGAACAATGTGCAATTCAAAATGAACATTTAGGTGTCCATGTCAATTAAATCAACAATCCCATTTAATTGACAGGTGTTAGTGCAGAGCTCAGGGAGATGGACTGGCACAAGGTTAAATCTAGCAGTGGATTTTGAGGGTCTGTGAGCTGCACCACGGGTTTAAGATAATCAAGAAACAAAGCTGGCACCTACCAACACTTGTAGCGGGTGTCATGCACAATATTGAGCCTGCTCATCATGCATTGCAACAGGAAGGTGGATTTGGAAAGGGAAAAGAATTAAAACAACCCATCACACGTGTCATTAGGAATTTCAATTGAATAAAGAAGAAAAATTGTTATTATGGGCACAGTGGCATGTAACTGTCAGCACAATCAAACCACACAATAGCACAGTGATCCATTAGAAGGAGCTTGGGGACAGGGCAGAGGATGGATGTGCTGGGACTGTGCTGGGASCGGAGCAGAGCCAGGAAAACCTTCCTGAGCCTCAGCTCTGAGCTCCTGAACCTTTCACCTTCTGACACAGCCTTGGCATGGTCCTTTCCCTGAGCTTCTGAGATCAGAGTGAAACTCTACACAGCCCTGCTCAGTGCCTGGGATCCCTGGGGCAAACCCAGCAGCAGTCCCTGTCCCTGTCCCTGTCCCTGTCCCTGTCCCTGCTGCAAACCCAGCAGCACCCAGCCCTGCTGTCCCTGTGTCTGTTCCTGTCCCTGTGTCTGTCCCTGTCCCTGTGTGCAAACCCAGCAGCACTCAGCCCTGCTGTCCCTGTGTCTGTCCCTGTCCCTGTGTCTGTCCCTATGTCTGTCCCTGTGTCTGTCCCTGTCCCTGTGCTGGCTCAGGAAGTGCCACGCTGGACCCATCTGGGCAGTGGGGACAATTCCCTTTATGTCACACAGCAAAATGCCTTCCACCAGACTGACCCCACAATCTTCTGCTTCCAAGATGATAAACACACACTGATCTTCAGAATATCCACTTCTCATAAATTAGTAATTAATTGAATAAATAACATTTATTAACACTGCTAATGCTGATTGACACAGCTGAAAGTGAAATAAAACTCTAACATTTGTGACTGAGACTGCAGTGGGAATGGAAATATCCTGTTAAAGTGCCAGAGGGAGCCAAACAATGGCACTTGGTGACATCCCTGGGCTGCAGTGGGGACAGGAGGTGGCTGCAGTTGGTGCCAAGGCTGCATTTACTGCAGGGAAGAACTTGGTCACTGTAATTACTCTGAGCCAAGGTCATTCTCTGTCACTGCTGACAAAGACAAAGGCATCGGCACGTTTCCTAATCACTCCTCTATTTYTGTGCCATGGAAGAGACTGAGAATATCTGCAAAGAAAAGGCAAAGGAAGGACACCTCTCATGACCTCCCCGGGCACAAATCRTGGCTGAAGCCAATGGGGTCACTGCAAGATTAAAAAACGGAGCAGAATTTGGCTCTAAAGTACAAGCAGGAAGCAAATCCGCTTTCTCAGTCCCTCTGTGGGCTCTCAGTGCTGTTAATGGGGTTACACAGAAGATCCTCTGAGCTGTCTCTGCACAAATTCACACAGCTCCAGCAGAGGMTCCAGCAGAGCTGCTCCAGGACAGCCCTGCTCAATTGGATCTRCATGATACACAGGAGCTGGAAATTTATAACAACTGAAATATCCCTGCAAAGCTTTTCAGTCAAAAGCTCCAAATTCCAGCTGAGTTAKCATCATTAACATTATGACCAGTGCACTCAGTTTTTGAAAGGGAATTAAAGCAAATGAACATGAGGGAGAAAGGAGAACACCTTCTGGGGTGGCCTAACTCCCAAACACAGGCACTATGCTATATGACCCTCTTACCAGTAATAAAAATAATTTTTGCTACAATCTTAACATTCATCTTGACTTCAGAAGCTCTGACTAACTAATGAGAACACATGAATAATGAATTATGTGCACTTTCAATGTTCCCTGGCTGTTTGGCACAAGGCAGCATTTGAATTGGAGGATGTTCTGACTTAACTGACCGTAATTTCACAACCRGATTATTTCTGCAGTCCTTCCCAACCCAAACCATTGTGTGGTTCCATGAGTCTATGATGACATACACATTTTTATATGGATTTTAATATGTGGGCTAGAGATGGGACCTACAGCTTACTCCACCCATCTTACTATGGACTGCAGCAAGCTTTGCACCATCTACTGACACATTTCAGTGCCTGCAATGCACTTTGGGAACTAAATACAGTCAAATGCACTACATCTGATTTTTGTGCCATTGAAAATACACGTGTTGGCTGTGTACCAGATCAGGACAAAATACTAAAGGGYGTTACACTGAACTCCTGGGAACATACTTGCCAAAAATGTTTAGGATAAAATCCTTTAAATTTTTGGGTAAAGACTGACGAGCAGTATTTCTTCCCCTTCCCAGTCTGCATCACGAGGGCTGACCTCACAGACTGTCCCTTTTTTGAGCACAGGGCTGACCTCACAGACTGYCCCATTTYTGAGCACAGATCTAYCAGCTGGGCTCTGCACACTTCCTGGAATGATGGGGTTGCTTTAGTGTGGGTTCAGGTGTAAAAGGCAGAAACTCCTGGGACATCCTAGAGATCATTGCCCATGCAGTGCCACAGGCAGAACCCCTGGGTGTGTGTGACTGAAATCAGCCCCTGGGATCACTGCACCTCATTTAAATCAACCCCTGGGTGTGTGTGACTGAAATCAAGCCCTCGGTGTGTGACTGAAATCAGCCCCTGGGATCACTGCACCTCATTAAAATCAACCCCTGGGTGTGTGTGTGACTGAAACCAACCCCTGTGTGTGTGTGACTGAGAACAACCCCTGTGTGTGTGACTGAGAACAACCCCTCTGTGTGACTCAGAGCCACCTCTGCCAAGGCCAAGGGGTGTCACAGCGAACAGAAACCAGCACAAGAGCTCGGGGATGAGGAAGGAAGAGCAGTTAATCCAGGGAAAAGAGGAAGGAGAGAGGTTTCAAATTCTGATTCGGGGTGACAGAGCACGATGCTGATTTTATGTTAGACTGGAAACACCCACCCAGCTTCCAGAAGGAGCAGAGGAAAGGCAGCGTTGCCCCAGGCAGCCCCTCCTGTGCCCGTGGGCAGCGGGCACTGCTGTGCCAGGCTGGAGGGGCTGCCTGTGCCTGGCACCAACACACACCGCATTTGCCACCAGCAACAAACAGCTCTGTCCTACTGTGCTTTTCCAGAACTCCCCTTGTCCCTCCCCAAAAGGCACCCCAGAGGCACTTACCTGGTGGGAGGAAGGCTGTATGCTGCTGTAACTGCATGTTGGCAAGAGCTTGCTGGTATTGGAAGATACCAGTGTTAAAGACTGCGGTGGCACCATTGGTTTTTTCAAGCGCAGGCCTCTTTGGTAAGGGGGGAAGTACAGCTTGAGGAATTCCCTGGGTGGTGGATGGGTGTAAAAATAAAGTCCAGTAACAAAAGGAAAAAAAAAAAAAAGGATGGGGTGGGGTTTGGAGGAGGATGGGAGGGAGGGAGGGGGAAGAAAGGGAGGAAAAAAGGTGAGAGAAAAAAGGAAAAAAGAAAAATCAGTAGAAGGCAAAATAACCAGGCAGCACCATGTTTCTCCATGAGCAAGCAAGCGGCATAGCAGACTGAACTACCAAATAAAGGCGAGGGAAGAGCTTTCCAGGGAGAACTCTGCCCACCATGAGAGCAGCACGGGGAGCGGCGGCACAGCCGCTGTGGGCACGGCTCAGGACACCTTTGGGACAGCTTTGGGGTCGGGAGCGGGGCTGTGGGGAAGCAGCACTGCGAGCTCCATGAGGATCACACGTAGAAGCCATGTTAATTGTCACCGTGGGCACCGCCATGGGTGACACCCCCGTCCCGGGCATGCAGAGCGCGCCCATGCCGGCCCCGGCCCCGCGCCAAGCCATGCCAACGCCCTGCGTGGCAC